TGATAAACATGATATGTCGTGGGAGAGAGTACCTTGTGTAGATGATAATGGTCAACCCAAATTCAAAATGGACTGGGTTCCAAAGACCAACTAATTCCGCACTCTGTGCTGGAGCAGCTATGGAAGAATATCATCATACTTCGGTTTGTTGATAGTGGCTGTTCCAGGCACATGATAGGGGACATCTCTCAACTATATTTTATTTTAGAACTTTAATTGAGAGTATGTATCCTTTGCTGGAAAGAAGAATGAAAGGCTCATAAATGGGGATCGCATTTAATGGCATGATGAATATTGAATATCTTAACTTCGTTCCGGAATTGAAACACAGCTGAGGCTGAACATGTTGCTGCATATGCGTGCTGTTCTCAGATCATCTGGATGTAACTTCAATTGTTGAATTACAATTTGAGTTTTCTTCCCAATACTTTTAAGTTTTTCCTAAAATGATTCGTTTTGAAGACAAACTTTTAAATTTGCGCAGTTATTTTGTTTCCTTTCTACCCCATACACAAAATAAGGGGGAGAAATCAAAACACAAAAAAAATTATAAAAATAAAAAATACAAAAATATGTTTTCTTTCGTAAGTATTTTTGGGAAGTGATATAAAGTTTAATTTTAAAGGGCAATATGAGATGCATGTAATGCACTGAAGCTGAATTGTTTAGACTCTGTGTTCAATGTGTTAGTAGGCACGAAGGATTCAAAATTAAAGGACTAGACACTTTTGACAATGAAAAGAACTAGACAATGTTAACTCATCTGGATTTAGATAGTTACATTTGGACTGACCATACGACACTTGGATAGATTGAGCAGTGAGATAAACATGAGAGCCTGCGAGATACACTAAAGTTACTTATCATCTAGAACTGTGGCTCAACACTTCTTCGATGTACAAACTTATGTCCTTAATTATGTGTGAAATTGTTTTTCTTTCTTATCCTCTCTGTCAGTCATATGTTGCCCCCTTTGAGTGATCGGAAGATCCGACCTGGGACGCAACATATGCACCTCTATCTATGCTTCTCTCTATCTATCTATGTCAGTCATATGTTGTCCCCTTTGCGTGATCGGAAGATCCGACCTGGGACACAACATATGTATCTTTCTATTTCTCTATCCCTCTATCTATGTTAGTCATATGTTGCCCCTCTGCGTATTTGGAAGACATCCGACCTGGGATACAACATATGCATTTCTATATCTATCTTCTCTCTCAAATAATTGAACAATCACCTAAAGTAAAGATTTTTTTGGAATTACTTGATTGCTAGAGTATGTCGTGAACTGGGGAACACATTGTAGTGCACTTAAAATTGAACTAACAAAGGCTGACTATAGATCTCGCTGCTGAATTTAAGTGGACAACAATATCATTGGTCGTCGTAAGCAAAATGGTCTATTTATGAATATTATTTAGGAATATAATCACAATGTCATGTCATTTATAATATGTCAAACTTGTCACTATCCTTTGTGTTTAAGTGGACAACAATATTGGTGATTGACCAGAGCTAAACATGCAGGTGTATGCTGATAAACGATATTGAATTGCTTGACAACTTTGATCCCAAAAGTTTATGTTTTGTAAATTTAGTTATTATTTTTGTTTTTGTTAAATTTGTTCATATTTTTCCTCTATGCACAAATTTAGGGGGAAAATTAAAAAAATCAAACAAAAATCATAAAATTTAAAAACTCCAGAAATATTTTATTTCTGTTTTAATTTCTTTTTCAGAAAAATCAAAAAATCCAAATTTTTTTTTACTTTTGTGTGTATTTTTAATTTTAATTTAATTTAATTTTTTTATTTTCTTAGTTATTTCTATTGTGTGCTAAGTTTATTTTTACTTTTATTTTTTTTATCTCAAAGTTTCGTTTGTCTTAAAAAGTGAATTCAAAAAGAAGAAGAGACTCTCTGTGAGACTGTATCAGAATTTTCTGAGCAAGGAGAAGAAACGTGGAAATGAATTGACGGTCATTACACTTGACTCAAATTTCACATGAAATTGAAGGATTGAAACTGTACAAATTGTCAGTTAGGCAGTTTCTTTCAACGAACTGTCGTATTTAAGGAATTAAAAGTCTGAAACTGTACATATGTCATGACACTAGGGCGATGCACCTCGCAAGGCACGATTATCGCTGAATGTCTCGCCAAGGGCAAAGTTAACTTGTTTAACTTGAAAAACTGTATTGAGATCTTTGATCTAGGATATACAGGGGCTAACATTAAAAAGGTCATGAGTAGTTCTCCGATACTCAACAAATCGCAGTGCGTTCCTCCGTGTTCACACAGATACTGCGAGTAGTCTCCTTCTGAGCCAAGGCTGGGTCCTTGAACAACTGTGGTGAGAAGGGTTTTTATGACTCTGTGATCCACAGGGACTTTTTAATCATGGTTACTTTTCAAGGCGCAACAATGATCGTTAAAGAATACTCATTCGAAGGAACAATACGTGAAAATTATTTTTCAACATTCAATTTTTCAACCCCAGAAGCAAGGTGACGCTGTACTTGAAGTTCTATGACAGATTGCATTGAAGCCTCCTCAATCAATTTGCTGCTATCTGTGAACTTGCTGAGGTGATCCAGAAGAATCAGTCTCTGTTATTTTCTCTGAAGTATTTCAAAGCTGAAAGTGCTGATTTTCAAGAATCTTTACAAGAAGCCCCTACACCCAATGTGCGTTCAAAGTCAAATTCTTAGAACGAAGTCCAAATACTAAATATGAAGTTATTCATGAAGAAAATCATATGTTCATCTTGAAGTTGTGAAGAAATCGAAAATAAAAGCTAAAAGTCAAGATCAAAGAGAAGATTGAAAAGAAAACAAAGCTACAAACCCAGGGGGAGATTGTTAGGACTAAATTATGGTTTATTCTAAGTGAAAAGAAAGCTAAAAAACCAATGAGGAGATTGTTAGGTCATAAATTGTGGTTTATACTTTGCTTTTCATAAGCTATTAGAGTTCTCGGTCTAGGACCGAAAACACCATGTTTTGGTGTTGTTTGGGCCAAAATCACATGTGATTTCGGTTAGGCTTAATATTGTTTTGTTTGGGTTTTGGGTTGGGCCTTGGTTATTAGGTCTAGGTATAAATAGTGTCATTTGAGCCTTGTAAAGACAGTGGGACGTTTTTGGGGGTTGCCATATGCTAAGGACGTGATCTAGAGAGAAACAAAGAGAAATCCAAGTGTAATCAAGAATCTTATATACCCGACTATTCATCTATAATAGTGTGCATTGAAGATTAATTATCTAGTTCTTATTCATCTTATATCTTGCATTATACACTTTGATTGGGATTCCGCACCATCAAAGTGAATCCGATTGATACCTAGGAGAATTCGGGACTTACAAACTCAGGGTTGACTTTGACTTTGACCTTGACTTTGACCAAGGTTGACCTAGTTTGAATTTTGAAGGCATTTTGGACTAAGTGTTATTTTGGTATTGATAGCTCGGGGAGCGGAAGGATTAGTAGTTTGGGGAATTGCCATTTAGCAGCCAGAGGATTATATGCAGGACTTCAACAGTGCAAGGTGAGTCTCCTCACTGTTTGCATGGGTCTACGACCACAATGCCTGACCATTTAGTTTATGTATGGTAGGAAGACCCGGGGGTTAGCCCTAGGCATTGTATGATAGTATGTTATTCCGGACCAAGGTCCGATGTCGGGCGATACCCGAGGAATGTTTGCATGTTAGATTATACTTTTTGTCTGTGTGATACTTGTATGTGCCTGGTAGGGAGGTGAGTATGGGCGAGGTCCCGTATCTCATCACTAGCTGAGTATGGACGGGGTTCCATATCTCATCCATAATAGAGTAGGGGCGGGGCCCGTGATAGGAGAGAAGTGAGTGTGGGAGGGGGCCCGTATCTCACTATCAGCAGGAGTGTGGACGGGGTTCCATGACTCATCAGTAGCAGGACAGGGGCGGGGCCCAAGATAGGCGAGGCCTTAGGATAGGAAATACATCTAGAGTATGTTTCTTTATGTGCTAGTATGATTATGTGATATTGTTGTATGCGTATAGCGGGCGAGGCCCAGAGACAGGGGGTCCTAAGAGAAACAGATCTGTATACCTAGTGGGGCTCGATGCCGGATAGAGTCCGATGTCGGGCGGGGCCCGATGTAGGGGCGGATGCCCAGTATATGTGGTTATGTGTATGGTATGTGGTAGTATGAGGAACTCACTAAGCTTCGTGCTTACGTTTTACAGTTTTGGTTTCAGGTACTTCCAGTTGTAGAGAGAAAAACTCGGGAAGACTACATTGCACACACCAAGATGTTTTAGCATTTGATGTTTTACTCTGATATAATGAACATGTGTTTTGATATGATACTCTGATTTGATACGATGACTTATGTTCTTGGATGAAATGATTTTGATAACTATGGTTTTATTAATGAATTAAAATGAAATTTTTGGACCGCATTTTTGGGATGTTTCACGCAGAGCCCCCTCTGCGGATCTCGTGGTCATTCTCCAAAAATAAGATTTTCATGGTTAAATTCTTCAATACCCCCCCCCCTCCCCTATATTTGGTTATTTGATGAATTTTCTCTTCAAAGAATTTATAAGGACATAATGGTCATTTAAATTCGGTCAGTGACCAATACCAAAACAAATACAAACTATAGGGATCGTTCTTAAAAAAAAACTATGGACCAAAGAGATAAATAACCCAAACCACAAGGACCATATGTGTAATTTATACTCCTAAAAGACTACCTTTTTGTAAATGAAGTTTTCATGTGAAGCATGGACCTCAGTTTATTATAAAAAAAATGATAAACCATAGATAAAAAACACGTTTTTAAGTGCAAAATCAAACCTAGGAAAAAAGGTCATAACAATTTCTCTTTTTAGATGGGATCATTAATTTTTTTTTCCTAGTATTTTCCGAATATATATAGCTATCACAATACTACATCTTTCTTCATATCGAAATTGGTCTTATTTGTTATCATAAAATTCAAATATTTTACAATGATTCATTCAACTGATAAGGTGATTCTGTTTTGTATGCATGCTCTCCTTTATTTATGTAGCAGTGAAGGAAAAATAAATAAGCAAGAAATTGTGTCCGTGTCGGCGGTGCTAACATTCGGAGACTCCTTCGTTGATCAAGGGAATAATAACTATATCCCAGCTATAGGAAAGGCTAACTATCTCCCATATGCAAAAGATTTTATGGGTGGAAAACCAACCGGAAGGTTCTCCAATGGGAAGACACTAGCTGACTTTTATGGTACCACTTCGTTTATATATATATAATCTTTGACATATTTTTAATTTTAAAGTGTGGAAAAGTTGCCTCCAAAATTAGCAAGTGGCAAATAGTTCAGAGGTTATTTCCGTAACTTATCATTTACTATTCATAGTTTGACTATGAATAGTAATCTAATATGAAATTGGAAATGTTTGAAGAATTGGACGGCACATGTGAATTGGGAGATTTGTTATTCAAAAGTTTGTAGGCGGAGTGTTTAGTCATAAATAGAGGCGCCTAACATTGCTTCTTCTTTTAACTATGAATAGTATTCAAATTTGAAGGCGTAACATTTTTGGACGACGGCATTTTTTATCCTTTCATATGTTCTTTTCTTTGGCTATAAATAGCCTAAGCCATTTCATTACAAATGAACCCAACAATCAAATATATATATATAGTAAAAGATATACATATATATATATATATATATCTATATATATATATAATATATATATATATATATATAATACTGATACACCACCATATTTTAGCCCTCTCATTCTATTTGTAATCTCTTTCATAATCCCTGTAAACACTGCAAATTATAGTGAATTGTTTCTCGGCTTCCTCCGCCCGTGGTTTTTTCCCGATTTGGGTTTCCACGTAAATTCCTGTGTCTCTATTCTATTTATTTTATTCGTATTTCGTTGTGATTATTACGCTTTGATAATTTTTGATCCCATTCCGCATTGAGCTAATATTATTTAAGTCTATTCGGATCCTTCGTATTTCACAACAATTGGTATCAGAGCATCCGGGTTGTAATATTAGCTCATTGGGATCATTTTATCAAGTAATTAATCATGTCTTCGGTAAAATACGATATTCCACTACTGGATCGTAACACACGATTTCCGTTGTGGCAAGTAAAGATGAGAGACATTCTCATTCAGATGGATTTACACAAGGCGCTTTTGGGTTTCAATAAGATGTCCGATACATGGACCGAAGAAGAAAAGGAGATGAAAGACCTGAAGGCTTTATCCCAGATTCGTTTGCACTTGTCAAACGATGTTTTGCAAGATGTTCTAAAAGAAACGTCAGCGGCTTCTTTATGGCTAAAGTTGGAGCAACTGTTGATGACCAAGAGCTTACCAAACAAGTTGCATTTGAAGCAACGGTTGTTTCAGTCTCAAATGATTGAAGGAGGCTCTTTAACTGAACATATATCCACATTTAAAGAGTTAGTAAATAACTTAGAGAATATGGATGTTCAGTATGAAGATGAAGACTTGGCTTTATTCTTACTGTCGTCGTTGCCAGAATCCTATAGCCATTTTCGTGATACTATTATCTATAGCCGTGACACTTTAGTTTTAGATGAAGTCTATACAGCTTTGGATTCCAAAGAAAAGATGAAGCATATTACTGGTGGTGGTTCAAGTGATGCTAAAGCCGAAGGTTTGAATGCCAGAGGAAGAACAACAGAGAGTAAACTTCTCAATCTTCCAACAGAACCAGATCCAAATCAAAAGGCAAACGAAAGTTTTGCAACTATTGTCACAAGAAGGGACATGTGCTTGAAGAATGCTTCAAGTTGAAGAATAAAGAAAAAGAGAAGACGGCAGCAAATGGTAAACAAGCTAGCACTTCGGGTGAAGCCGATGTAGCTGAGGTGGAAGGTATTGGAGAAGTTTTGACAGTTTGTTCAGATAAACTGGATTCCACTGGTGATTGGATACTCGACTCTGGTTGTACTTTTCATATGTGTCACAACAAAAGTTGGTTTTACACATTTGAAAAGGTTAACCAGGGCTATGTGTTGATGGGTAACAATACTACATGTCCAGTTCTTGGACATGGTTCAGTCAGGATCCGTATGTTTGACGGAGTTATTCGAACCATGGGGGATGTTAGATATGTTCCTGACCTCAGAAGAAACTTGTTATCTCTCAGTTCCTTTGACAAAGGGGGATACGAGTTTGCTGGTAAGGTGGAGTTCTCAGGGTATTCAAAGACGGCTCCGACAAACTGAGAGCCAAACGAAAAACCTCAGATCTTTACTTTCTTGACGGGCAAACAATTTCGAGTGATGCTGCTGTTGTTTCAAAGTCTCTTTCTGATCCAGATCAGTCCCGTCTTTGGCACCTTCGACTCGGCCATATGAGTTTTCAAGGCATGTCAGAATTGAGTCGAAGAGGTTTACTTGGTCAACAAAAGATTGTTGATTTGGATTTCTGTGAAGACTGTGTATATGGCAAGGCAAAACGAGTGAGGTTTGCAAGTGGCATCCATACAACGAAAGGACCACTTGATTATGTTCACTCGGATTTGTGGGGACCGGCTCGAGTTGCTTCAAAAGGTGGAGCTATTTATATGCTCACTATTATTGATGATTTCTCCAGGAAGGTGTGGTCTTTCTTCTTAAAACATAAAGGAGACGTTTTCTATACCTTCAGAAATTGGAAAGTTCAGGTTGAAAAGCAATCAGGTCTGGTGGTAAAGTATCTTCGTACGGATAATGGACTTGAGTTTTGCTCAGAAGAATTTAATGTCTATTGTCAAAAGGAAGGCATTACTCGACATCGCACAGTAGTCCATTCACCTCAACAAAATGGTGTAGCTGAAAGGATGAATCGCACCATTATGGAGAAGGTCCGGTGTATGCTTTCTAATTCCAAATTGCCAAAGTCTTTTTGGCGGAGGCTGCTTCGACTGCTTGCTATGTTATCAACCGATCACCGTCACGAGCAATCGAGAAGAAAACTCCGTTTGAGTTATGGTCCGGTAAACCTGCCAATTATTCAGATTTAAAACCATTCAGATGTCCAGCGTATGCACGAGTTGACAATGGGAAGCTAGAACCAAGAGCAATCAAATGCGTTTTTCTTGGGTACAATCAAGGTGTAAAGGGTTACAAGTTATGGAGCTTTGATTTGAAGAAAATTATCATCTCAAGAGATGTTACTTTTGATGAGTCTGCTATGATTCAACCAGTTGCTGACTCTTCTAAAAGAACAGATGCATCAGATGTATCATCCGAAGCAAATAAAGAGTATGCTCAAATGGAGGTGGAGCTTCCTACTTCACCTACCACTAATCAGAGTACAAATCAGCATCAAGATTCTTCTTCGTCGGATGAGCATGTTGTTGGTGAAGATTCAACACCTTCACAACCACAAGCTACTACTCCAAGCATTGCAAGAGATAGACCGAGAAGACATATTATTCCTCCGAAGAGGTATGTTGAATCTGATTTGGTTGCCTATGCTTTTATTGTTGCTGATAATATTGAGTCTGCAACGGAGCCTGCAAATTATGACGAGGCTATCAAATCTGAAGACTCAAATGATTGGATGCTCGCTATGCAAAATGAGATGGAATCCTTGCAGCGAAACAGTACTTGGAATTTAGTTCCTATTCCGAAAAGGAAGAGACCAGTTAAATGCAAGTGGGTCTACAAGCTCAAGGAACCTGTCAACCCAAATGATAAACCAAGATACAAAGCTCGGTTAGTAGCTAAAGGCTACAGTCAGATTCCTGGTATGATTACACTGACATTTATTCCCCAGTTGTCAAACATACTTCCATTCGTGTATTGTTGGGGTTGGTTGCTTCTAACGATTTTGAGTTAGAACAACTTGATGTCACTACAGCTTTCCTAATGGTGAGCTTGAGGAAGAGATTTTTATGCAACAACCTGAAGGTTTTGTAGTTCCTGGAAAGGAGAACTACGTATGCAAGTTGAACAAATCTCTTTATGGCCTCAAGCAGTCTCCTAGACAATGGTACAAGAGGTTCGATTCTTTCATGACCAGTCACAAATTCAGCAGGTGCACCTATGATAGCTGCGTTTATTTCAAGAAAGGTGACAATGGTTCAAAGATCTACTTACTCTTGTACGTGGATGACATGTTGATTGCAGCAAAAGATATGAAGGAGATTCAGAAGTTAAAAGACCAGTTGAAAGCTGAATTTGAAATGATTCGTGACAGGAAGTCTAGGATCTTGCAGCTTTCTCAGAAAAGTTATATTGAGAAAGTCCTAAGACGCTTCAATATGCACGAAGCAAAGTCTGTCAACACACCTTTTGCAGCTCATTTCAAGCTATCATCCGCTTTGAGTCCTACTAATGAGACTGATATGGCTTACATGGCACGTGTTCCATACTCTAGTGCTGTTGGATCTTTAATGTATGCTATGATCTGCACACGCCCTGATTTGGCTTATGCTGTTAGCATGGTTAGTAGATACATGGCGAACCCGGGGAAAGAACACTGGAAAGCAGTACAGTGGATTTTTCGTTATTTACGCGGTACGTCTTCTATGTGTTTACGTTTTGGTAAATCTAACACTGGGGTGTTCGGATATGTTGATTCAGATTATGGCAAAGATTTGGATAAATGAAGATCAATTACAGGGTATGTGTTTACACTAAATGGTTGTGCTGTTAGTTGGAAAGCCCAGTTACAGTCTACAGTTGCCCTGTCTTCTACCGAGGCAGAGTACATGGCGATTACAGAAGCAGTTAAGGAAGATATCTGGTTGAAGGGTTATTCGGAGAACTCGATGATAGAATAAAGGTGACCATAGTTTTCTGTGACAACCAGAGTGCTATCTTCTTGAGTAAAGATCAAATGTTTCATGACCGAACAAAGCATATTGATATTCGTTATCATTTTGTGCGGGATATCATTGAAAAAGGTGATTGTGTTGTGGACAAGATTCATACAGATTATAATCCCGCTGATATGTTCACTAAAAGTCTTCCTATAGCCAAGTTCAAATTATGTTTGGACATGGTGGGTGTTTCTGATCGCAGTTGAGCCTGAAGGCTCGTGGTGGAGGAACTATTATTTATTTTTCCGGAAACAATTTTTTCTCTATACAAAATTGAAGTTTTTTATGGAAGTTTTAGAGTTTGATGAGCTAAAGGTTTTGACTAATCGTAAAGCATGACTTGCTTAATTTTGATGTCAAGGTGGAGATTGTGGAAAAGTTGCCTCCAAAATTAGCAAGTGGCAAATAGTTCAGGG